TTTTTGCTACAAGGTATTTTACAACATTTGTTTATTTATTTATTTATTTTCTTTAATTTTATAATTGAGGGCCATTTTTTATTTCTTGATTCAATTCTTGCTTATACAGTATTTAAATATTTGAAGATTTAAAAAAATATATATCATTTCTGTTACCGAATTTTTCATTGGGGCCATTTTTACCTACCTGTCCTATGGGGCCATTTTTACCGGGGCCATTTTTTCTGGGGCCATTTTTTCCGGGGCCATTTTTTCTGGGGCCATTTTTTCCGGGGCCATTCTTACCTACATTCGACTTTACCTCTCCCTAAAAGTATGTACCACAAATAGGTGTTAGTTAAAAAACACTACCTGTATTAGTCATTCATGAGTATTCATATATACCCTGATATTACCTTGTATATAATTGTTGAACATTTAAACTACTAGACCATAACTAATTCACTTGTGTCTTTATTATTGTCTTAATTCTACTGTACTTTGTACTAAAAATAGACATGTGTCAACTGTGCTGCACTGACTTAAAGAACACATGACTTGACTAAGTAAATGTAAAATCTTTGTATGGGCAAAGTATAGTACATATATAGGATCTGTGTTTTGGGTATTGGGGTGCGGATCTACTTTTGTATGGGATTATTGTCGAAATATTGAAACCTATTAAGATGGCGCTGAGTACTGTATGTGCTTAGAACCTGTACTATTAGAGTATAATTAGTGGACCTTTCGATGTCGCATTATTGTTGTACACGTAGTGGTGAATCGTAGCGTGTGCTTTGTGGTGTTGTCGTTTGGGAACTGTGAAATTAGCAGGGCTTAATGTGCCAGACTTGGACTAATAAATGAGTGTTATTGGAATGTTCAATGCAATGTGGTAGCCGATAATTCTTGGGGAGGAGGGGGAAAAGGCCTCTCTGTGTGGTATGAGTCGAAGTAATAGCGTGAAGGCATGTTCATAATGGCAATAAAAATCTACGATAAATACTGTACGTTTTGAAAACAACTAAGTGTAGAAGGTTTCGGTTAAACATGAAATTGTTGGAGATTAACGA